TGTCAGGAAAAAAAAAAAAAACAATGGCATGTAGTTGTTGACAAAACCAACTTCAAGCAATTAAAACTATATACTATTTTTAAAGATTTGGTTGATGAAGTACAACGGTATTCCATCAGTGGACATAAAGAAGTCCCACGCGATAAGGGTGTGATAGTGGAACCCGCCACTCTTAATGGAGTGGTTGGTGTGAATTGTGAATTGCTCCAAGTACGTGTTTTTTATTTATTTTATTTTATAAATAATCAAAATAAATTTCAAAATGTGAAAATAGGGATAAGAATGAATTGGATGTAGAAGTAAACCTAGATTGTTGTTCTTGAAAACCATCCACGTCCCATGGATTTAAATCACTGTTCAAAGTGGATAAGAAGAGAATTAAAATTAGGTCGGATCTTAGACCAAAACCTACGCAATCTGTGTGCCCTTCTTATGAGTTAAACACTAGAGCCAAACAGCCAAAAACCAATAATACTACTAGCTTCTAGTGAATTTCGTTGTCACAACACTGGACCCCACTACTATAAGTCTATTAAGAAAAGTAAAAGTTGCCTCAAGAAGCTGGAGATCCACATCATTTAATATTCCGGTGTGCACATTTTTCTCTACATGTAGCTATTCTAATTTATTGAGAGGACCCAAAAAAGAAAAAGAAAAAAAGAGAGAAATTAAAAGTCAAACAAGCTATAAAATTATGGAATTTTTTAATGAGTTTTTAATAATTTCAAAAAAAAAAAAAAAAAAAAAAACCTCCAAAACTATTTACTCAAAAAAAAAAAAAAAATCTTTAAAATTATAAATTGTTTAAAGATAATATTAGTATATTACCCTTTATTAACTCTGAACTAGGAATGTAAGAGGGGTAAATTCTTCGATCGATTTACATTGATATTCATTTAAGTCCGTTACACCACGATGCAATCGATATCATGGTTGAAACGGAGCCAATGAAGGGCTGGGGGCACGTGCCTCCTGACCTGGTCTGCCCTGCCCTCTAAAATATATGTTAATTTTTTTTTATTTATATGAAAAAAATTATGCAATACCCTTACTAATTTTTTTTTTTATATATATAAAAAATTTATAGTGCCTCTCTAAATTTTGTGATTACGTGCATATTTAAATATATATATATATATATATATATATATATTGCCCCAATATCCTTTAATTAAAATCCTAATTCCATCCTTGATTATGGTTATGAATCTTGATTCCGCTAGTACCTAGATTTTAAATTCTAATTTGGTGTTCGGAATGAGTATGGCTCCTTTTGTTTGAATGGTAGGAGCTCTCAAGACTGTAATTGAACACGTGGAAGAGATCGATGAAAGGATGATAAAAGGACTGGATCATGGAGGTTGTTATGGTCATCTGCAAGAAAGAAGACATGCGACCAAGCAAAAGGATTTCACTTTCGGTCACTCTCATCCCAATAGAAAAACATGTCGAGTGGCTGGGAAGTTTTATGTACTACTAAAATAAACAAGTAGCACATTATAGTAAATGAAAATGACAAGGGGGGTCACGTCACTCATAGAAGGTCCACCATATTGTGATGTTTGGCTCTTTGTGTTTTCATCTTTTGAAACTTAGGCGGCTCTTTGTTTAGTTAAACATGATTTTTAAGTGGTAAACATGGATTTTATCAAGTGTTTGGCAAAGTAACTTTTCCTATCCCTCTAAACATCCATCAACTATTGGAATTAAGACTCCCCAAGTTTTAAAGAGGATCACATTATACTTTTGAAGCTAATGGCTGTGGCCGGTAAGTTAAACACGTGTGTTGCACGTGACATAAAATAACTTATTCAAAGATCTAATATCTCTTGTTATATTCATGTAATGCATGTTACATAAAATTACTTATTTAATGGCCTAATACCCCTTGTTATATTCATATAATAAAATAATTTACTTAATAACCTAATACCCCTCGTTATAGTCACTTTACCAATATTTAGGTCATTAAGTAAGTTATTTGACATCACGTTCACTATATGTGCCCAACTTAATGATCAGTGTGACTTTCGTTAGTCTTAGGAGTGTAATACTACTCTTTCTTAGAATTGAAGGATTTAATTACAACAATTAATAGTTGAGGAGGATATTTTGTAACAAGTCAATAATTGAAGGCGTTTTAAAACACTTTTGTCACCTATCTAAAGTAGGCACACAATTATTGGGTATAACCAATCATATACTATAATATAATTTTTTATCATTAAGGTGAATGGGAAGACTCCATTGCACGGGAGTATTAATTATTTTCCCCTAGAGCATAATAAACAAATCGAGTTAAGCCGAATTTAGACCAAATTCGAGCTTGAGGCTAGGGCTCATATATTAGTGTTCAAAATTAACTGGAACATTTATTGTTGAACTCGGCTTGTTTAGTTCACTTCATTAGTTTCAGACTTGTTCTGGAGATTGAAACTAAGATTGCTAAGGACAAAAATTGATTATATATACAAAAAAATCTTATAAGCAAGTTATGTTGACCAAACTCAAGGAGTTTGTTTGTAGATACATGTTGACACATCTAATTATTCAAGTTAGATGGAATTTGATCTCGTTTGATAAATTACAAAAATAAGCTCGATTTAGTTTCAAAAGTTATTTATTTTCAGTTCATTCCCAATTATTTATTCTAAAAAAAAAAAAAAAAACCCCTAAATCCAATTCCTCATTAATTTAATATTTGCCCTAACTGGCTCACGAATTTCTCCACAACTCTGAAATAATTTTATTGTATTACAAGAACATAGGCTTTGCTAACTTTATTAATACTTATTGGTTTATCAAAAGACTACCCGCCAAAACTAACAGACTTAACGAGTACTTAGGTAAGCAAAGATTAAAAAAATAAAGATAATTACGAGGTTGGCCCACCAATGAATGACTTGTCTGCTTTTACTCAGTCCAATCGATATAAACACTTGTATTCTATCTCTATGTAATGTATCTATATTCCCAAGTCATCGCCGGCACTAGTATTGTATTGCTTCTTTCTTGCCCCCATTGCTTCCGTAATTTTGCCGTAACATTTGCTTCTCTCTCTCCCTCTCCCTCTTAATTAGACCCATTCTTTCACCTATACATACAACAACACACATACACACATACGTAGTATTTATATAATTACATATATATATATATATGTATCACTGTTTGTATGAGTAACTATTCGTCTTCTACTCTTTTACGAAGTCAAAAAATTTTGGGTTCACGCGTTTTCTCCTTTTCTGGTCTAAATTAGTTCGCAATAACGCGAACCCACTTTCGATCTCGACAAATTCCACACGGGTTTTCAGATTTTAGTTTGTTTGAGCTGTTTTTGATTCAACCCAGTTCTGATTTTTTTTTTATTGATCTTATCTTGAGAGAAGAAATCTGGGGTTTCTTCTAGTTAGTTGGAATGATGGACTTTTGGAGATCCAGTGAGCGCCGGATTTTCATGGCGGTGATGATGTGTTTCCTGTTCCGGAATTGTAATCTGTGTTGGTCTCTCAACGAAGAAGGTATGAGCTTTGTGGTGGCAGTGACTTTACATTCTTTCTGCTTTGTTTGGTTTCTGAGAAAGTGAAGATTGAATTTGGTGTCCTATGTTATTTCTTTGTTTGCAGGCTTAGCTTTGTTGAAATTTAGAGATAGAGTTGTGAGTGATCCATTTGGGGCTTTGTCGAATTGGAATGATGATGTCGGAGTGATTAATCCGTGTTCGTGGTTCGGCGTCGAGTGTTCGAACGGAAATGTTGTGGTTCTGTAAGTAATTCTTTGTGATATATTGTTTTGCATGATTATAGGAAGTGATTGTTTTGTTTTTTTAGCTTACACTTTATATATATATATATATATATGACTCTTTTCTGGTTTTTCTTTAAAAAGATGTATGAGATTTGTGTATATTAGATCTATGGTATGAGCAAACCTACTTACCCCTCTCCCTACCTTCTAGATAAATCAGAATAAGAAATTCTCAAAATAATTAAATCCACATACTACAATTTCAACACTTATGCTACTTTCAGTAGCATGGAATTGGCGGCTTGGAATTGAAATTGAA